TTTAAGATTTAAGGAAATTTCAATCATTTAGCTTTTCCAAATTAAATAATAATAAATTTAAAAAAATAATAAAATTAAAAAAAATAAATAAATTTAATGTTCATAAAGGTCACAACATACGTCCACAAGAGAACTGGAAGCCAAACTTAGAAGCCTGCCATACATCTGCACTGGCGGTCGGTCTTCATTAATATAGGCTGGAGTGACCTCCTTCAAATACATGCAAATATGTTAGATAAGCCATTGGGTATCAGTTCAGCATCAATCCAAAAATTTTAGATCAATAGCCAATTAGCATTCTAACATCTATATGACACATGAAATAGAAAGACTGTACTTTTGCAATAATGGGTGCCTGTAGACAGTTGCAACCATGAAGAGGAACATACAATGTATATCTAGTTCTCGCACTTCTGAACATTTCTATCATAATTATACTGGTACCACAGTTAATACAAGATGAAAAAGGAAAAATCTGAGCATCAAAATGTGAGTACACCTCCTACTAGGGAAATTTCAATGGAACTCAAGTACAGTCCACAACATATCCTAAAACTCTGAATTGTGATAGCACAGATTCTTTGAGACGACAAAATCAGAGCTTAATAGATAATTCTAAATATAATAATTCTAGTTATTTATCAACCACCTATCTTCCAACTTTTGACATGTTAAAAGTTCAGTACCATTGACAAGACCACATATTCTGACAACACACAGATTAGCATCATACCTTATGCCATCCTGACTTTCCTGTAGTTGGACTAATCTGAAGATTTATTGAACCAGAAATGGAAACCACAAAAGAATCAAGCAAGAACAATAAACCCATGAATACAAACACAAAAGCAATTGACCACACATGCCTGCGCAGCCATGTATGCTTTTTCCCCACAAAAACCCCCTTGCAAGAACTAACCTTCCCACAATCATTTTTCAACCCACGAAGCAATAGAACTTTAGAATTCCAATCACTACCTCCACCCAAAATTCTCCTCCCAATGGAAGGATCACTTCCCTGTAAACTGTCTGAACATCGAACCTGATAATCTTTCACCCCAAAAGCAATGTTAGAATTCTGATATTTTGGGCGTGGACTTCTCGGTGGCCCTTGTTTACCCATTAGACCATGTATTTCCTTCAATCAAGTTCCATGTGACAACCCCATTTCTTCTTTTGATACAACTAAGACATAATAACACAACTCTATTTCTTCTCCTGACAAAATTAAGAGATTCAGGCCATCCTAAACCCAGAAATAAAACATAACTTCTCAAAAGACAATAAGAACATGAACTTGTATTCAGAAAAATCTACTCTCAATGACACAAGCACAAGAAATTCCCAAGTCTGCACCTTTCTCCATTAACTCTCCCTCTCACTACCTATCATATCTAACAAAGACCCACCAACAAATTCAACAAAATTAACCAAAAGCTTCAGGTTTGGTGACACCAGATTAATAAAAAAGAAGAGGAAAATTAGTAAACAAAATAAGAACATCGTGTGATACATAAGGATTAAGTATGAAGTTAAGAAAATGGCAGCTGAAAGTGATAGACAGACAAACCGATAGGGGAGTGAAATCGAAGCTTGATTTGAAAACTGAACGGCATTTTAAAAAAAACTAACCTTGTGGAATAAGAAACTCTCTTCGAACTTGGAGTTTGCTTAAGAAAAAAAAAATTCTCTGCAACAACAACCCGCCACCAAACTCAACAAAGAAGTTCGATTTCGTGCTTTCTGGGCTTTGATTCGAATGGAAACTCTTAGAAAAGGGGTTTGAAGAAGGCGGGAAAGGGGAAGACGAAGAAGCCATTTATGGAGATGAGACGATATGAGATTTTCTTATCCCGTCGTTTTTGCGGCTAAGTGGGGAACGGCGGCGTGTTTTGGCGGCGCGTTTTGGCGGCACTCTTAACTAACTCAAAAGTTCGTCCAACTTTCTTCCTTAACTAGTTATTGGGCTTAAAAGGCTTTGTTTTTGGTACTGGGCTTTATGGCTTTTTTTTTCTTTTTTTTGTAAAATCTGACCTAAGGAGTCCTTATTGTCTATGTTGGGCTTACTCGTTTTAGTTGGAGGCCCAAAGGTGTTTAAAAATGCATTCACAAATAGATATAATGTCACGTAAAATTGCATCTTATAATTATAATTATGATATATTATTAAATAAATAAAAATACATATAAGTGGATCCTAAATGAAACAATGTCCAAATGTCAGTTGTATAAAAATATATCATATTATAATTTTTTTATTTTTGTTTTATTTTTGTTGTATAGTGAGAAGTAATAACCTTACTCTATTTATATATCATACGATTTAAACTCATAAACTCTTTTCATAAAAAGAGGTAATTATTAAATTATTTATATAGTTAGTATCATATTATAAATTTATAATATTGAATGATATAATTGGAGATAAAATGTAGTAACTCCTTGAAAAAAGGATAAAGAAGGTTGGCTGGCAAATTCCTTACCTTCTTGATTAAAGGGTTGAAATGAATCCAAACGTGAAGCTCCACGGCTGGCATCCATATGACGAAGGCCCCGAGACAGAGTGCCAAACACACGGCGCCTGTCACCGTCTTTCCCTCTCTCATGGTGGAGTCTCACTGTCATCCGGCGGAGAACAGATCAATTTTCCGTCTGTTTCTCTGTAATACGGTTGTTAACAGAAATTGGTTGCGTTCTAGAAGGAAACAGCGTAACATGGTGAGTTGGATTAACTTATGGGGATTCCAAATTCCCCAAACATTCATAATGCTATTAATTGGTGATCCGAAGTTGACGCAATAGAAACCAC